CCCTTCTCCTCTCTGGATCTTAGGCATGCAAACACACCCACCAGGCATAAATTTAAGCACCTGAGTCCAGGACTCAAACTATAGTTGACTACATGGGAGTCCAGCGATATAGTCATTATGCCAACTGCTGGTCTCCCGAGCTGACATTTGTAAACAACCGTGGGCAATGAATATGGTGGTTTCTTTCATGGGTGTTGACAGCATCCTGGAGCCCACTGAAGCTTGTATGAAAATATTACTTGCCTCTTGAACGCTCTGTTTTAAATTTGGTTTATGTGTTCATTGTCATCAGAAGGAGCAAAGACCGGTGCAGATGATGTTTCAGAAAGCGACCTTCAACATGGCGTGTGTCAGCAAGGTGCAGGCGCAGCTGCTGGAGTTGCCCTATGCGGGGCAGGAGCTGAGTATGCTGGTTCTGCTGCCTGACGACGGCGTGGATCTCAGTTCAGTGAGACTCTGTTGGGGGTTGGTGGGCCTTCCCACTCTGCATTTCTGCCAAGAAGGGGGTGACATCTTCCACTGCCTTCTTACCCAGACATTACTCAGCACTGCCTCCACCTCCTGACCTTGCCTTTCATGTTGGAGAACCCGCCGTGTGGGCACTGGGCTTTGGACAGAACCTTTGCTCAAGGCTGGCTTGCCCATTGTTATCTGCATGACCTTACTAAATTTCAGCCTCTGTTTTCTCATCCTCTGAATGGGGTAATAATCTTTTCTGGATAGGATTAATATGAGGATAAATTGGGGGAGAATCCAGGAACCAAGCTTAGCAGGATTATCTGGCAAACAGTAAACTCTTTATAAATGAGATCCATGATTGTCAGAATCATTGCAATTGGCATATTTTAAAATCTAAGGACTGGGCCAGGCTGTAGCATGGTGGTTAACAAGACTAGACCCCACATGGCCAACAACATGCTTTGAGCCCAGACCTGGTAGCTTGAAAAACACACGGGGTGCATGTGTGTGTGCACCCAGAATCTTGAGAAGAGAATGGTGAAGGGATTGTGGTGTGGTCTTCCCCATAAGGGGTGATTACTCGCTTCTCTCTGTGTGTCTCTCTTCAGCGAGCACAAGTGCCCTATAGCCAAACCTAAAATATAAGAACCTGGAGGCCTGGAGGTGGTGTCACATGGTTGTGCAGTACTGTCAAACCTGACCTGAAAGATCAGGATTTGGTTCCTGTTGACCCGTACACTCTGAGGGTGCTTGTGATCATGGAAGGCTGAAAGGCTGGGGAGAGAGGGATTATAGCATGAGATCTTGTTGAGGGTGCTTGTCTTTGTCTCTCTTTCTGTCTCTGACTCTCTCTCATGAAATAAATAACAAAACTTAAAAAACATAGTATTAGGGGCTGACAGGTGGTGCAGTGGTTAAGGTGCAGGAGTCTCACGTGGCTGACTGTGGTTCGATTCCTGAACCTGGCGGCTTGCTTTCTCACTTCCTCTTTCTCTATCTCTGGTCAAATTAAAAAATAATAATAACAAATGGAATTAAATAAATAAATATTTTAAAAAATGATTTCTTGGAAGTGTTTTGGGAGGAAAGGACAGTCACAGTCTTCCTGTCTGTGGGCTTCTTGGAGTCTCCCTACTTGCCACAGAAGTGGTATTTGGAATAGCACATGGGACTCATGGTGAAGAGCAGAGCACACCACTTCCGGGCAGTCCGTCAACAACCAGGAGATGTGGGTATCAGCATGGGTGTGAGTACAGTGTGTGCTTGTACAATCTCAGTAAAGTCTGACACTTAAAGTCTAATTCTGGTCTTTCAGGTGGAAGAAAACCTCACTTTTGAGAAACTGATGGCCTGGACCAAGCCAGAGTGTATGAAGAGTACCAATGTTGAAGTTTTCCTCCCGAGATTTAAGCTGCAGGAGAATTACGACATGGAATCTGTGCTTCAGCATTTGGGAATAGTCGATGCCTTCGCCCAGGGCAAGGCTGACTTGTCAGCAATGGCAGCTGAGACTGATCTGTGTCTGTCCAAGTTTATGCACAAGAGTTTTGTGGAGGTGAACGAGGAAGGCACTGAGGCAGCAGCAGCTTCGGCGGTTTTGTTGGTAGAATATTGCCTGGTCTCCAGACCTCACTTCTCTGCTGACCACCTCTTCCTCTTCTTCATCAGGCACAACAGAACCAACACCCTTCTGTTCTGTGGCAGGTTCTCATCCCCGTAGGGGTGTGCTTACTGCACATGGAAGCGTTTCTCTCTTTCTGTGTCCCAGATCCTTGTCTATAG